GGGGGGGGGGAGGTTGGGGTCCTCAAATGCACAATCACACATAATGTTCAGTATGTGTCAGGGGTAGGCAACCGTGGCACTCCAGCTGTGCTGAAACTTCCCATCATGCCTCAGTCTCTGGGAGTCATGCCTGTGGCTATTAGTCTTGCATGTAGCACTAGAAAAGACAGTAGAGGAAATGATGACCCCAGACTGTGCAGTTGGAGACATGCTATAACACCTTTACAAATCAATGCTCCCAATCCCATTACTGACTGCTAGGGTCTGAGGGCTGCACAACCATCCCCAAAAGGGCCACAGATTGGGCACCAGGGATTGGGATGGATGAAAACCAAATACATGGGCTTGCTGAACACTACACTCAATCACAATTGAAACTGTACTATGTAAATATACACCCTTCTCCTTAGGGCAGTATATAAGACTCATTAGATGCCAGTAGCTTGGGAATTCTGGGAGCACCAAATCCAAAGCCTGGGATTCTGTAGACCAGGGATTCCCAGCTCCATCCATCCTTGTTTGGTCTAATCATGCATATCCCTCATTTATTTTGATCATCCACTGCTCAATCCCCAATGCAAAGAGATGACTATCATATAGACCAGGGCTCAAAATTTCAAGTCCTGAGCTACTAGCCAGGCCTTAAGAGTTACTCGCCACCAGTTGCCCCACCTAACCCCAACCCTGCCTCGGCCTTAACTCCGCCCCTAAACCCGCCCTCTTAAATTATCTTATGAAATTACACTTTTAAATGTTGAAGGCAGAATAAAGTTACAAAAATAAATATTAACAACAACAATATTAAGATAAAGCAATGTAAACAACATTACATTAAATTAAAATTAAGCTAACCTGATATAGTCTTAAACTTCTGTTACATTGATTTAATAGATGGCATCTGGGTGCCTGCAGGTAGCATCAGGTTTTATCTTGAATACCCCTGGAACCCCAAAACCCAGAATAGCGGTTATAGAAATCTCAACTTCATCTCAGAAACCCATGCATGGCCCTTATCACCCCCTTGCCTGTCCTAATAATGCAAGGTGAGGCCATCTTTTGAAGGGTTTCTCGGATAACCTTAGATGTTCAATGAATAGGTTCACCATTTCTTTGGTATTACCCTGTTTTAAGATAGAGGGCATGCTCTGCAGTATTGCACTACTCAAATAAAAATGTTTGCATTTATAGCTCGCTGATTATAGTATAGGTATAGGCTATATACATTTTAGTAAGCTGTTTGAGTGTGCTTATTCATTTTTTTTTCCTTGCAGGGAACAGGAGAGACTGGAGGCTGAGCTCCGCTCTGCACAGGTTGGTGGTGCTGAAGTACAATGATTTTCACCCTTTTAAAGCAGTGGTTCTCAACCTGTGTAACCTCAGGACCCACATTTGTCCTCGGTCATTAGGTTGTGTCCTAAGTTGCACTGCAATGGAATGCACCGCAGTGTGGGCTGCTGTGCTGTGATGGAGCTCCATCCATATGTGCAACGCTTGTACAGCTCCCATGTGCGCCAGCAGAGGTGCTGGAAGTCAGAATTTGATGTCACTCCATTCCAGGCACCTCTACAGGACATGCAAGGGAGCTATAGGCAATGCACGTATGGATAGAGCTCACTCGCGTCAATATCCCCAGCCAATGAGACAAACCAAGAGATACCTTGTCGCACTCCTTACTGGAAAAACCCAAAGTTGAATGAGAGGGGGTGCTTGTAGTGACCTGCGGATGGCGCCGCCACACAGTATAAAGATGGCCATTGCTGAGCCTGATGAAGGGGACCCTGCGTGGCCCCGAAAGTGCTAGTTTTGGTGACATGACGTTCCAATAAAAAAACTCTCTGGACTACAAGACTGGTGGTGCGCTGGTAACATTTATTCATCTTCATACTCCCTGCCCACCCCACCTCAAGTCGGCGCTGGGCAGCATATTTTGAATGGCTGCTCGGTGTGAAAACAGACAGTGCTGCACTAGGGGGAGGCTGAGGAGCTCTCGCCTAAAAAAGTGGAAGGCATGCGGTGACCCAATGAACACGAGGTCACGACCCACCAGTTGAGAACCAAGGCTTTAATGACAATCAAATACACAAAGTGTTGATAGAAGCCGCAGCTCAAAGTAGCCATTATCTTTTAGCAATTACCTTCTAGCAATATATAATCGTCATTCATACAAATTTCTGCTGAGCTTTGAATGGTGATTATTTGCAGAGAGAAAAATTGAAGTATTTCCCTTATCAACCAATCAGAGCCTGTATTTACCTTCTCTAGTATGAGAAAGAAAGTTAAAGTTTGATGTCTTGGATACCATTAGTGGCAGCTCTTGTCATTGCTTTGTAGATGGGAATGCAGTATTACACTGTTCTGTATAATCAGACCTAAAAACAAAGATATTTCCTCTTTTTTTTTTTAGTCCTGTTGGAAGTGAAATCCAAAAGCAGAGACATAATGAAAAACCTAGGCTGTGCCCTCATATCTTAAACCAAATGTCTTGTTCTAGTTTTGATTGGCTAAGAATAAAATCTCATCCTTTTCACCACTTATATGTCTTGCTTAGCGTTCTCCTTTCTCATCAGAATTATAGCTCTTTTTATATATTGAAAAAAAAAAAGCTGAAATCTATTTTGAGATGTTAATCAAATTTTGAAATCTATTGACAAAAAGAGATTGCGTTCCCTTTTAGGAAGAACAAGAGAGAGCTCGGAACCTGGAGAACCTCTTGCTGCAGGAAGAGGAGAGAAGACAGATGGATGAGATACTAAGACTGGAGAAAGAGATTGACAAACTCAACCAACAGCAGAAACTGGATGGTGTCTCCATCTCGTGCATCGATACCCGGAATGAGGTGACCCGAAAGCGTGAAGAGGAGATCCACAAGCTGGAGAAGGAGGCCTCAAGAGTGGCACAAGAGTTTCTAGAGCTCTTGGACTTTGGTCATTTGGATGAGAGTGCTAACAGCCTGGAGAATGGAATTGATGGAACTTTACATGTGGAAGAGAGCTTGGTTGCACCTCTGGCTGAGGAAGAAGTAGATGAAGGATTCCATGCAGATGACGAATTTTTGCCGCCTCCACCTCCTATGCTGTTAGAATATGACCTCCCAGGGACCAATGATAGTTTCTCTGAGGATGGCACTTACATGAAAATCCCTGAGGACCACATTGGCAACTCCACAGATTCACAAATTTCTCCTCTGGAGCCGGTGTCTTCTCAAGATGCTTATACTGCCATCTCAGATCAGTCTGAGAGCATTTATCAGTGTTTATCCGATAATCAGAGCAACAGCGAAGAAGCTCAAGAACCCATTTACAGCTACCCACCGGATGTGGAATCTGATTATGACCATGAAGAGTTTGATGACGGCCCTCCAGGTTCAACTCATGCTAGAAACTCCAGTGATGGCCACCTCACTGACGAGGAGATACCTCGAATTTCCGAGCCTGATAGCTATGGATCTCAGTGTGGAAGTCTAGATTCAGTAAGTATTTTTTCAAGATCAAAATAAGACGGCCACCCCACCAATCAGACTTTTTTTTTTAGACCAAGACTAGACAATACACACCATTTTAGACAATAGGGCAAGTTCTGGGATGAGGTGGGAGAATAATGCACTCTTTTCTTTGTAGGGGGACTTATTTTTTATTATAGCGACATATTCTCTAAGGAATGCCTCAGTCAAGCTAGCCTGCAAAAAAAAACTAAATTGTTTCAACTGCTCAGGTTAAAAACAGATTTTTGTGGACATTTGCAAATGGATGTAAAGCCACACTGCCAGGTCAAGGAATCTGTAAAAAAGTGTGATTCCCCAATTCAAAACTGTGAGTTCCCAACTATGGGGAATATACAGTATATCAATGCACAAAATGAAAGCAGGCAACACTATTACATGTTTATCCATTAATATTACTAGAACCTCTTTAGATAGACCAGGTTGATCTTTTGTTAAGTTATTTCAGCGGCATTTGTATCTATTATAAATGTTTTCTGGTCATATTTCCCACTTGATGCCAGCAAATGGCAAGCTTTAAAACTCTTTCTACAGTTGCGTTATGAAACAGACCTCGAAACGGGAGATATCTGATTACATTGACTGCAGAGTGACTTCAGAGGAGCTACATGCTCCCTCCATCTCTCCTAGCAGAGGGTCATTCATACACATAGGAAGCCAAACATGCTTTGCAAACAGATTGTCATGGACATTTTTTCTATTGATTTTGTAAAATGAAAGATTTTATATAGAGAACTGATAAAAGATATATAAATGCCCATTTTATAAACTTATAATAAATTAAAGGTGATAAAAAAAGGTATTATGCTTTCCTCTAGGAAAGAGCTATTAAAGTATTTGTGGGTTTCTTACACAGGCCAAGATCAGGGATAGTGAGCTGACAGCAGTTGTTACCTCTATCACATCCCACTAGGATATGATTATTGTATGTTAGTATTTTACTCTGCTTCTCCAAAGTGGTGCAGGAAGTATTGGAGCTGAGAAGCAGTTCTACATAAGACAGGCCTTCCATTTGTTGAAGTTTTACCTTGTTCAGTTGACCAGTTCACAGTTGCATTTCTTCTAAAGTTTCTGGACAGTGATGAGGAAGTGGACAGCCACATAGACACTGATGAAGAACTGATGACGTCCCGGGTCACTCTCTTCAATGGAGGAGGACCACCATATTTTCACAGTTACCTGTACATGAAAGGTATGCTTTTTGTTGCAACTCTTATGAACTGTAAAATAGAAGTTACCTCCCATACAATTTGTTTTCTGTGAATGCTGTTCAGAAAATTTTGAGGGTTTTTACTACGTTTTGAGTGGAGTGAGTGCATGTAGATGGGTGATTCCCCTGGCTTGTCTGCAACAGCGAACATTCTGTTCTGACCGCGATTTCTTAGTTCTTCTGTCTGAATTGCTTTCTCTATATATTCCCACACCCAAAAGAAGGCCAGTGACACTTGTATTAAGTAGAAAACACATTCCCAAGAGACAAGTTTAGCTTAAGGCAAGGCTATGGGCATCACAGCTAGAGCAAGCGTGAGAAAGGTCTGCAAAAAAGGTCTGCAGCATGCAAAAAAACTCGTCTCACCGCTAAGGTTAAAAACAGGTTTTAGATGCACGTCTTCTGCAGAAAATGTGAAAGCCGCTCCGCCTCGCCAAGGCACCTCTATATAGTGCGGTCCTAACTCTAAACTATGAGAGTCTCCATCTTGAAACACATGTAGCAAAAGATAAATTTGGGCGCAGGTTTGTCAGGAGGAAGCCCAACCTCCTTAAAGGCACAGTGTACGCACATCACAACGGCAGCTGGGACCCCCCCATGCGTCACTGCACCAAATCAGTCAAGCAAAACAAATGGCAAACGCACTCATCATTTTGTCGCCAGCTTTACAGCAAGGTGCACATGGAAGGGCTTTATACAGTAACAGCAAAACGTTTCCCAGCACACTCACCAGCCAGCATGCAAAAAAAACTTGTCTCACCACTAGGGTTAAAAACAGAGGTTTAGATACACGTCTTCTGCAGAAAAGGTGAAAGCCGGACTTTGTTTTGCATGATGGGGTACCAGGTACTTCCTACTCTACACAAAACTGCCTAAAAACTGGAATTAAGAAATACATTGGGGGGAATTTATCAAAACTGGAGCAGACAAAAACTGGAGCATCTGTGCATGGCAACCAATCAGCTTCTCTGTTTCATTTTCAAATCTTAACTGAGGGACCTTTCTGTTTAGTTGTTCCAAACAGCAGACCTTTTGTTTGCCTCCAGTTATAATCAGATGGCTCATACATTTATTACACCTATGCTAAAAAGATAAAACTAGCATTTGCTTTCCTAGGAACTGGAAGATTCTGGGATTATAAGTCTTCACCAAAGCCCCTTTCCCCTCCCCAATCTACAGGCTGCATGTCTTTATGAGGTTCTTCTCTAAAGGTGCCCATACACTGCACAATTATCGTACGATAATCGTATGTGATCGGGTTTTCGTACGATAATCGAGCAGTGTGAACGGAGACGTGAGACCGTTTCTACTGTACGGTCGCACGTCTTCTGTCGAACCAGCATGTTCGAAAACCAGCCGGGAATCGTACGATTCTCGGCTGGTTAGAACGGTGCTCGGTGCACACCGGCCCGTTCAGCATTGCGGTCATCAGAAGCCCGCCCCTCGGGGGCGGGCTTGCGATGATCGAGAGTGCGATCTGCCTGTCCAAGATAGGCAGATCGTACGTTTTTTTTAATCCCTTTACAACCATCGCAAGACTAAAGTCTTGCGATGGTTGTAGAGTGTATGGCCACCTTAAGACCTGTGGTCATCCTGTCTTTCTCTTAGGATATCAAAGAATTCCCCTGAGAGATATCATAGGCCAACATATAACACTGGCAAGAAGTAGGCTTCAGTTGCAGGTTCCGAAAATAGATCGTAATGAATCTTAAAGCCAGTCAGGTGATCAAGTGATGCCAAATTCTGGAGAAGTTAGGGCCTTCTTTAAAGGGCCAGTCCACAGAAAAGTGTTTTGTTTTTTGGCATGTATTGGAGACTTTAAAGCCCAACCAGTTTTTCATGCACCTCTTCTTAGGGATTTTGGTAACAAAATCTGTTTTCCCAGGATTGTATGTATGCTGCAGAAATTATTAGGGGTTTTTGTGCTACCTTTTGGAGGCTTGAATGAATTTATATTCTGAAGAATGCAGCATAAGAAGTGTTATTTTCCAAAAATACCCCTGTTTTAGCAGGATTTTTGAGGAAGTCTTGGCCTGGAGTACCCAAGGTTTATACGATGTCGGTAGATGATGCCACCATGTAGATATCACTTTTGGGTGGGCTTAAGAAGCTCTAAAGTTGTTGAATGCTTTACTACTGGAGTCTCCCGGAGATTTCAGAGCTGGTGGTGATTCCATCTACTGCATCATACCAAACCTGAAGTATCAATTTTGGCTGTGCTAACCCTTTTTCTGTTCCCTGCAGCTGGAGGCTTAATGAACATGTGGAGACGGCGATGGTGCGTTCTGAAGGATGAGACCTTCATGTGGTTCCGTACCAAACAAGAAGCTCTGAAATGTGGATGGTTGTATAAGAAAGGGGGTGGGATGTCCACACTGTCAAGACGCAACTGGAAGAGGCGCTGGTTTGTGCTGAGAGAGTCCAAGCTGATGTATTTTGAGAATGACAGTGAGGAGCGGCTGAGAGGGACCATCGATGTCCGGGCAGCCAAGTGAGTCAGTTCTCCATTCAGAATACTCCACAATTGGTCTTTTCACTCATTATTTTGGGGCGGGCTTATTAGGCTTGAACACCCAATGGTGTTATAATTTGGGCCATCTGGGCTGTAACTTGGTCCAGCTTTAGGCTTAATAAAAAGGAAAATAAAGTTGAATCAAGGATTGGAATATCCTTAGTAAGTTTTGGAAGTTATCAGTTATTGCTTAAGCATTGCTTTGTATGTTAATAAGTAAATTTAAGATTTATGATTGTCTTTAAACTCTCTGGTGTGCTTGCAAACACTTGGCAAAGAAAACTAGATTCCAGAAGTTAGATAACAATGGCATGCTTAGACCAAGACCAGTATATTATATTGCAATTTCTGGATTCTTTAATAAACTAACCATCCTGCTCGGCTGCATTTAAAGGAGAACTATGGGGTTAAGTCTTTTCCCCATAGTTCTCCTTAGGGTAACGAGAGGACACAAATTAGCGTCCTCCCGAGCTGTAGCTCGCGGTATACTGAGACACCGCAGTATACCGCGAGCAGCTGCTCGCGGTATACTGAGATGCCACTAATGTTGCCCACCCAGCAGTGCTGTGTGTATAAAACTCTAAGGGCCCTGTAGCTTGTATGACAGGTGCAGAGCTAGCATAATGTCAGCCATATACGCTTTGTCTTCCAGAGCCATCATTGATATACACGAGAAGGAGAATGCTTTGGATATTGTGACAGATGAGAGGACGTATCACATTGTGGCAGAGACTCCGGAAGATGCAAGGTGAGGATAATCTTCCAATGAGCTGCATTTCTTATCTAGTAATAAAAGTATACTTCTAGTAGTTCAATAGCGTCATGCTTGCACGCCGAGAGTTTAAGGTACTATAGGTTTCCTGTGCTCTGTCTGCTCTGGTATCCCCACACTTGAAGTATATCTAAAGCTTAAACTTTTTTCTTTCAATAATGTTTTTAATTTAGCAAATTTGTAACCAGTCTGATCAAACCTCATTAAACATTACATTGCACATACATGTCACATCTAGGTCCAAAAAAGATTTATGCCGGTTGGAACATAGGTGCTACATAAGTACAGCAAGAGGTCACAGATAGCAGCAGCTCACATGCCCTCTGATAGCATTGAGACAGAGGAAAATAAAAGTTAAAATGTTCACAATATATTTTTGCTTTGCCTGGTGACTTGTAGGATCCCGCTGCACAACTGGGGAACATCACATGCATGTGTTGCTGGGGTAATTCTGGCTCGCACTGGCATCGTGCCTTCCTCCTACAGCATTCAACAATGTAATCGCTGCCAAAGTCGTAAGATATAAACTTGAATGTTTTTAGTCATTAAAACACTTTAAAGCCAAACTCTGGGGAAACAACAATAAATAATGATAAAATCTTACCTTGAAACATGCCGACTCCTACTCGTAATGCTGATCTTGTGGGCACTGCGGGGAGTGAGATGCACCGCAAGTAGAGAAGGCCTCTAGTCCCATCCCGGCCCCTCTTTGCTACTTACCCATTCATGGAATGCTTTGTAGTTTTCTCAAAGAATACAAGGAGTTCTCTGATTGGAGGAGGAGAGAAGTGGGCAGGGATGTGGCCTCATTGCTCCTCCAAATAGTCAATAGCAATAGCCATCAGTTTCCATTGCTGAACACCCGGAGTGTGAGGTAGAAGCAGAACAAGCAGCCAAGATGCTGATGAGAAGCATGCTGATAGGAGGAGAATGCAGTGAAAGGATGAGCTCATAACTGTGCTTATTCTCCTTCCACTGTCCAGTCACAGGCTGAGGGCAGGTCCAGGACAACCTGGGCTCAGAAGAAGTGGGTTGAATGATGCTTGGCATCTAGTGGCAAAAAGGTACTGGGAGGAAATCTCTGAGTTTAGGGTGAAAATTTGCAGCGAAAGCTTTGTCTTGTCACGGGCTATTCATTTGAATTGGCTGGAATACTGCTTTAAGTGGCCTTCTTAGCTTAACGTGCATTTTTTTTTTCCCCACCACCCAATTTTCAGCGGCTGGTTCAACGTTCTGAGCCGAGTTCATATGGCGACTGCCCAACAGCTGCGAGATATGAGGGATGAGCAAGCCAACCCCAAGAATGCTGTGGTGAGTGTCTGCTCTGAGTCAGGAAGGGTTCTCAGGAGTTTCAGTTGCGTTGGAGAAAATTTCCGCACCCTCCTCCAGACAGGACGGCGATCCCTCTTGCCCATGTTAGATCCATTTTCCACTAATCTGTTCTGCATTACCGAGAAAGACGAACAATCTTCTCTTGTTTCCTGCAGGGAACGCTGGACGTCGGGCTCATTGATTCTGTCTGCGCATCAGACTGCCCGGACAGGTAATGTGCAATGTGGAGCGGCAATATTGTATTTATTGTGGATTAAAGTCAACAAATGGGAACTGGAAGCTGATGTATAATTAGCCATTTCCTCAAAAATGCTAAACTTGTGTTATATTAAAGTAGAACGAATACCGAAACTTTTCTTTTTTTAGTTTTGGATAAAATAAGGGAGATTTATAACCCTGTCACCATTTTTTGCCATCTGTGTGGGAGATTTCCCTTCCTTTCCTGTCTGATAGCAACAACAGAAGTGAGAGGAAATCTATTCCAAGAGCGGGAAATCCCTGGGAAATCCCATCTATTCCTGTTCTGGTGACAACTTAAAATTTGTGATTTCTTTCACTTTTTGTCAGTAGGACAACGAGGACACAGACAGCAATAAAAACCTGACAGGTGTTCTATTCCATGGTGTGCATGTTGTTCTTGTCTCATGTGTTTGTAGCACCATCTAGAGGCCGCTAGTGGTTACTGCAGCCACTTGATTCAATTAACCCTTCCAGAGTAACAAAAAAATTTGTGGAGGCAGATACATGCATACAAACATACATACATACAACAAATATTATTTTCCTGGCACATCATGGTAGCACACAATGGGTTAAGA